ACTGGACTGCTTCTTATTCATGGACAGGTACACAGCTTAGTAGCTGAATTGCTAAGAATTTCACAGGGAATGTGGGGGCTTGTGTTCCAGATAATGCTAGCGATGTTATAAGGGAAAGCTTGAAGCACATTCAACAAAGTATGACTCAGGTGAAAAACATTGTTGAGTACACACACCGGAGCACTGTTGCAACAAGATGACTGAGAGCAACACAGCAACAAATTTCTTTTGTTCCAACAATTTCTGCAGGAGAAAGATGCCATAAATTGCCAGGCATGCACAGGTTGATCCCATCATTCCTGTGAAAGACTTAAGCTCTTTGAAAAAGTGGAAATGTTGCTGCTATATTTTCAGCATATAATTTGGTTATCATTGTTATTAATTTGTTCTGTCATAAAAGGTAATGCTATTGATAAGGTGTAGTTGAAAACATAAGAAATGAGATCTGTTTATTGACTTGTTTCTTAGACAACAGTGAAAATTATTAGTTGGACTTTTGAATATGAATATGATTTTTAAATAATAATCTGCAGTGTCCTGCTTAACAGATATGTGATGACATCAAAAGTCATTTTGATGGTGAGGGAACTGCGAAGAGTCCTTCATTGACAGCACGGCCTGTCTGGTCATGGCCCAGTTACAGCAATGATGAGGTCACTGGCTGCTGATATGCAAAGCCATTTCCTCCCAGAGGAATACTTCAGCTTTTGGCAGAGGCAACCCTCTTAGAGCCCAGGTTTAAGCATTATGCTTTTCATGGTGCAGCTACGGCAGATGAGGCTGCAGTTGCGAGAGTCAGGTTTAACAGCCAAGCAGAGCCATTTCATGCTTCTGAGAGTGATGGCAGCCCATCCCTTCCATCTAAACAAGCGTCATTCTGGGAAGACTTTGATGAGAAAGTGGCTGAAGTAGTGAATGTGATGAACCCGACAGCTAATGCAGTGGCAGAAATGAAGGGCTTTTTGGCAGAACACTTTATCCCAGGATCTAAGAATCCAATGGTCTGGTGGAAAGTATGGCAATGATACAAGAGGGACTAAAAGATGCCATGAAGATTTCATTTATTTACATCTCTAGTTTCCTTAATTTGTTAATACAGGTATGTTGCTACACTTTGTTCAGTTACTTTAACTGGAACTGTATGTTGCTTTCTTGTTTTTATTAAAATATTGTTCACTAATTTCAGAGTCTTGCGAATGCATATTGATCACAATGCACTTCAGGTCTAATTAAAATGCAAAATAATCACATAGGCAGGCTTTAGCTTTTAAATATAAATGAACAGTCACTCTCCAATAGCCAGATAAAATGCTAAAGTATCTTAAGAACTCCTGGCCTAAATATGCTTTAATAAAGGGATTTAAAAAATACTAAAGCCATGACCATATAGTGTATCGTTCATTAATTAACATAGAATATGTTGCCTTCAGTATATAGTTTGAAATTCTTATTAAATGTGTTGGCAAGGTCTCTTGTAATCGACACATTTACTTATCATTTTAGCACTTAATTCTTGAGTAGACTTTCAGCACAGTCAGAATTGTGTGGAATCACTCAGTGAATTTTGGTTCTGGAAAAAAGAACTTCCTTTAAGGAAGTAAGTCTAACCTTTTGAACCGAATGTGCCAAAATTGGCAACTTACCAATTGCAGAACTACTCCTACAGAGAGTCAGTGACCAATGGAGTCAGTATGAGCTGGCAGGGAGTTAGTGAGACACGCCACCGTGTGGCCGGGGATGCACACAGCAGAAATACAAGTTATTATTGGACTGAAGGCAACATGACTACTGGCCATCTACGAAAAGCATATGTAAATGAATTTAAAGGTTGCTGTGTGTTTTTATGTTAGTTTGAAAAATAAATTTAGATCTGAGATCTGATATCTTAAACTCCAAGACTTTTACCTGAACGATGTGTGGATTGAAAAAAGTTTCACTGAAAAGAGCCTAACTGACTGAGTCTCATTCTAGGTGACTGGAATCATGAGCTGTAAATCTAACTTGTCTAATCATAGTATATTACCTATATTACCCTAATGGAAATCTTACCAAAGGATCAACTAAAAAAGGATTTATTTCCTCTCAGTTTACCTTTTAACCATATAGCTAAAAGAAACTTTGTTAATTTTTACAACATTTTCACATCTCCACAAACATCCAAGAATTACTTCCTTGGGGACAGTACCTGCCAAGCTTTTCAGTTCGACAATGTCTTTTGCCATTGTGCTTCTTCTAGCAAAAGCGTGACTGCATGGGTACATCTGTTGTGATGACACAGCTACGTTATTTTGTTGTCAAATACAAATCTCAGCATGAGAAGGACTGTATTTACTTATTATATTGAATGGCAGTAAAATTAAGTATGAGAACTATCTTAATCTTCACTTAAAATGTTAGCAGCTTATTTTATTCCTTCTTGAATGAAAAATAAAATTTTTCCTCCTAGTAACTATATTACTCATGATCACAAACCACCATGTAATGTCAAATCAAAAGTGCATTTTATGCTCTACAAATGAGAAATAAAATGGTATCCAATCAGTTCCTAACAATGGATGACTTGGTGGAGCATGCTTTACACTCACATGTCTGATGCATTATTGGTGTACAGATTTAATATGGCAATTATATCAGAAAAGAGGATGGTGGAGCTAAAAATTAAAGACAGTGTTACGAGCATACACAACAGAAGACAGACCTGAGAGATTATTCTAAACTGTCAGTATCTCAGAGTAATAGGATCTGCTTTATAAGAGAAGGAAGAGTTCTTGAAGCCTCCCTTCAGAACATTTATTAAAGGGGGTTCCTTATTAAAGGTGCCATATGTTGTGTGGGGCGGGAAGAAGGATGCAGGAACACACTTGAATTGCAAATGAAAGGGACTTTTAAAAAAAAAGGAGAAATAGCAAGTGAACAGAATCACAAGGGATCCAAACAGAGAGAGGTAAAGCACAGGTGACATGAGAATGTAAGATTAATGACAGATCTGGGGAGCACAGTACTGGGAAGGACTTAAATACAAGACTAACGAGGCAGCAAACAGGAGGCAGCTGGGACCGCGTAACAAGAGGGCAGGAAGAAGAGGGCCAGGAAGAAGGAAGGAACAAGAGGGAAGGTAAATGAGCCTCAGGCTTGTTAAGCCATGCCAGGGGCATCAAGGACAAAAATGATTATAATTGGATTGGAGAGCTCATGCAGAGATCATATAAAAGCAGTAGCAGTAAACTTTAGACTGATTATTGTTTAGATAATGTCAAGGAATCATTATTAAAATTGCCTTAACCCAGCTGACTGTTGGCGTTTTTTTTTATGTGACAGGGAGGAGGGGGGGGGGCGTGGCATCCCACATTTCTTCAGATTGAAACGATCCAGGTGCAATTTGGTGATGATCTGTGTATTTTCCAGGATGATGGAGCACCATGTCACAAGGCAAAAGTGAGACCGTAGTGGCTCAGAGATAACACTGAAAATTGGATCCCTGGCCAGGAAATTCCCCAAATTTTAATCCCAATGAAAACCTGTGGTCACTTCTCAAAAAGCAGGTGAACAAGCAGAAGCCCACAAACTGTGACCAGCTCCGAGCACTAACAAGCCTCAAACTCTCATGATCGCCAGGATTCGTAGATGGCCAGTAGTCAGGATTTGGATAAGAAGCTAAAATCCAGCAGAAGTTATGAAGAAGAAGGGTCAACACTGTAAATGCTACTCTTTGAATACATTTTATTTGCCAATAACAGCCTTTGAAAAGTATTAAATGTTTATAATTGTTCTTCAGTATACCCTAGAAACATGTAAAAAATAATTTAAAAATGCTAAAGCAGCAATGTTTGCGAAACATATAGAAATTTGTGAACCTGGTAAAACTTGACCATTACATATTTAGCCAAAATCGTGTGTTCAGGTGAAATGTGGTTGCATACAAGCAATGAAAAAAAAATAATAACATTATTTTTTAGCCTATCATTATCTTGACAAGTTTCCCGTTTGAGTGGGAGCCCCTAGAGGGCGGGGCCTGTCCATTTGTGCTGGTTGCACCACCCTAACAACGGCTCTGCATTTCAGTATTAGTTTCAGTATGAAATATGAGAAATTGTGAAACTGTCATGTCTGGCCATAGAGGGGCACCAGAGCCTCACAGACTGGCACTCTTGCTCCCTAGAAAATTAAACACATTCAGCTGTATCTTATTGCTAATCACATTCAGTTAAATATGAGTTAGTCACCTGAAGGCCAATTCATTCTTCATTTTTCACTTTTTTTATCATCAGGGGTCTGCACCGGACAGCTGCAGACTGTGTGTAGCCAAGATTTTGTTGTCCGGCTGAGATCTTACACGTCTGTGTACGTCATCTGTGTATGTGGAAGGAAATTGTGTTTGCTGAAGGTGGCAACAGTGACTTTCACAGAGCAGAGGTCACCCACGATTTAGTAGAAGAAGAATTGTTGCAGGAGGTACCAAGATATCCACATGTCTAATTTTTGATGTCCAGACAATATTCCACAGTTGTGTTTTTTGCAATACACCCCTCTCCTGGTCTACTGGAACATCACTGCTGTATGCAGGTGCTGACTGCAACCGTTTGCTTCCGCGGCCAAATGTAGTATGGACACAAGCTCCTGTGTGTTGAACTGTCTGCAACCTGAAAGTACACATGGAAAAGTGAAATATGAACTAGTCTAAAGGCTATTTAAGCATCCTGGTTTGTTTGTTGCACTTTCTTGTGTTGTCCTGCCGTAATTTTGCATTTGGTAACAGTTGCCTTCTTCATGTAAACCTTGCATAGAGCCTCAGGTCAGGATAGTCTGCTTTGGTAGTATAGTGGTCAGAGTAAACCCTGTTAACTGACAATATCCAAAGTTCAAGCACACAATTTCTGAAACTACTAAATTTCCCTCAAAGACATATGCATGATTCTCTAAGGTTAAATCACCTCCTCTAGCAGTCAAGTCAAAATGCTAATTCATGGTCTCACATGCTTTGTGCCCTTCTTCTCGGTTAGCATTTTTCACGGAGGTGCCCCATGACATCACAGCACAGAGTGGACAGGACGTGGAGATGGCCTGCTCCTTCCGGGGAGCAGGCTCACCCTCATACTCCCTGGAAATCCAGTGGTGGTACATCAGGAACTACAGAGACTGGACAGACAACCAGGCCTGGAATACCAATCAGGTATGGCCAAACTGGGATGTAGGATCGATTGGTTGAAAATCTAGTTGTAACTGCTGGTTGCGTGCTCTACAATTGGACCTGTTATGTCAGACAGGCACACATATCTTGAATTTCTGGACCTCCTCTAGTGCAATGCAGCTGTCTCTTTAAATATTGCATTGCATTGCACTTGCAATTATACACACAAATTATGAGAATATGCAGACTCTAAAAGTAGTGGCTAAATTAATGTAACACCAACCCCTCAAAATTCCCTAATGTACAAACAAAATGACATTATAATGTAGACGTAAGATTTTATAATGCAGAAGTATTGACTAGCATTTCCAAACTGCTACTAATGAATGTTTTACTTAGTATATAAAGTTGGAAAATTATAAGTAAAAAAAAGTATAGCTTGTAAGCATAACCTATAGTTGTACTGTTGATACATTTTCTTATGTCGGTGCTCTGGGAGTGCAGTCTTAAAATGAATAATGCATAGCTGGTATACAGCAGATGCTATTTCTTGGAAAGTACAGAAAAAGCATATTAACAATGTATGATCTTATTGCTGATAGCAACAATATGGGGTATATTTCCAGTTAAAGTTTCAACCCCACACTGTGTTTTGCGGCACTTTGAAGGAAGGGGAAAATGTCAATCGAAATCCACTCACTTCTGTCTTGTATTATTCATGACCTTGTCTGTTTTTCATTGTAGTAGCTAGCTTTATTTTTTTTTTACTCCATAGCAAAACCCATTACGGGGCCCTTCATTTGAGTTAAGCAGTATTAATTAACGTCAAGCAGAGGACACCCTTAACCTCCCCTGCTTTTACAAATTGGTTCACAAAGAAAGCCATTATTAACTGAAAACTGAGGTCTCAGCCTTCTTTAAAATGACCCGAAAGACATACAGGATCAATGTCATTTTTAACCATGGATATTATGAAAACATTTAAATGTTTACATATAGATATGATGTCAGCATTCCACAGATGTATCTGGTCAAAATCAAATTTCTGCCTGGGCTAGTGTAATTGCATATTACGAGGAAAACAGAGGGAAAAAGTTATTTCCACCAATGACATAAAGCAGGGGTTTCCAACAGTGAGAGGTACCCCTTCAGATCAATCAATCTGTGGATCTACATGTTTGATATAATACAGGAAAAATTATTTGCTGCACTTTATATTTAAAAGCTACAGTCTATAACGTTTAAAACACACAGTAAAAATGAAAATGTTTTTAATGAATAGGCCTCCCAGGATCAATGACAAAAACAGCATTAGGCTAACAATACTCATCTACTGACATTTAACATACCTGTGCAAGAAATAAAATATGTTGTTCACCCCCGGAATTCTGAAAGAGGGACTCACTGAAGAGGGGCAATTTCAGCATGTTGTCAAGGTGTATAATTATAATTATAATCACATGTTCGCTATTTTGCAGTGACTGACTTTTTTAGTCTTGCTGACTTCAGTATTTTCCTCAATGCAGGTGGTACCCCAGGAACAGTTCTCAAAGGATGCTACCAAAATAAGTGTGAGTTATTAAAAATATTATTGTTATAATTATGTGTAAGAGTTGGGAGGGCAGCTTGTAGACCACTGTAGGTGCCAACTGGAGAGCTTTAAGGTCAACATCCATTTCACTCCAGCATCAAAGTTACTGCTTCCTACCTCCACCTCTGTTCTCCACCCTTGTTCTCCTAATGTGAGATCGAGAACCTTTCCCTGTCCGCCTGGAGTGATTCGCATTAGTGGGTTCTGACCCAGAGATAATGTACTAATACTACCCACCTGTAATAGTACCCACACTGGAACAACCAAAACTAGAGTCAAAACCTTCTGCCATCGGAATTGAGTTTGCATGGTGTAAAGATTAGCTCAAGGAACTTAGGATGATTATTTCCCATTTGTGTATGTGCTTCTTTACAACTGAGTTATAGTCCTGGTTTAAGTCTGAACTCTGGCTCTAGTTCTACACCAATTCTTGGAAAAGTATGACCAGAAAGTGTGCTTTAGACTAGTGGCGTTTGAGTTCATGAAATTATATCGTCAACCATTAAAATACCTCCAAGATCTGCCTTTATGGAGAAATCGTTAGTATCGTGCAACATGGCACTCTCTCCCCTGGATGCAGGTGGTGAAGGTTGCTGGGAGCAACATCTCCCACAAGCTGCGGCTGTCCAACGTGAGACCTGCTGATGAAGGTACCTATGAGTGCCGGGTCATCGACTTCAGTGACGGTTCGTCCAGTCACCACCGGGTGCGTGCCTATCTGCAGGTGGAGTCGGATCACGCTGCTGTTCTGCACCGCCATCAGCCCGTGGTCCACTCCGGCATCCAGGAAACACTGGACACCCAGCCAGCGCACACTGCCCACAAAGGGGCCCGGCAACTGAAGAAGCACTCTGAAGAGAATCTCACTCGCTGCAGTGATGGCTGCGTCCTGTAGGGGGCTGACCCCCCATGACAAAGCAAAGACCGTTTTGTGTACATTGTGTAACATAATGAGAAAAAAACTAGGAGTGCATGTCTAATAAGTTTGTAAGTTCTTTAGTCTATGAGGTATAGTTGACCAGCTTACCCTGGTCAGCGTTGCTCTCTTAGCGCTTTTTGGTTGTTTCACATTTATCTTTTCTGGTTTGGATGCGTGTAAAGAGGTCAGGTGACCCTCACCGTGTTGTGCGCTGACTGTATCCAGACAGGCCTGATAATTCTGTACAGTGCATCAAGGAAGGCCTGTTAGTGCAGACATTCTGTTTTCTAAGTGCTGTGTTTCTCATTAGTACTGAACTAAAAGTAGACGTGGATTTAAAAAAATGGTATTTTCATGTTGACTTTTTATGGACTCGGCTATTATTTATGAAGCTTTGTGAATGATTGTTTGAAGGGTTTATTTCCATTCTTACGTTTTGCTTTGATGTTTTGTAAGATATGAATAAAAAATATGGTATATTTTACAACTTATTCTAGGATGTTGATCTCTAGGATGTTGTATGCCTTTATCAAATTAAATAAATTGTAAATGAACCCAAAGTAATAATTTGACTTATTTCCATGAAACTGTAGAATCCTGTCTTTGTATTTAAATTTGCATGAAATATCAAAGTGTAATATGCGGCTGTTGAGTGAGTCTTTGAGTACAACTCAAAAGCATGAAAAGGATTTTGTTTGAAATTTTAAAGCACATAAACATTAGATTTCACTATTAAAATTCTAGCAGTGCCAAAGGGTACAGGTATCATCCTATGTTTTGGGAAAAAAACAGCATGATCCTTGGTAATTGAGGTATTTTGAGAGCAGTCAGTTTCCTCACTGTTGACAAGCGACTGTATGGCATGGGCACCCCTGAGCTCCATATCACTGAGTACAGCTCTGCAACAGGGCAGACAGATGCTTTCACACCCTCTGCTCGTTATAATGGATGGAAGGTGCAGTGTCATGCTAACGACCTCAAACCACTGCACCTGCATTACTATGGGGCTTAAATACATGCAAATTGTAATTTAATCATAAAGTGGGAATACCCTCATGGATCCTTGACTCTGAGGTAGTGGCACTGTCGTTGGGCCTCACGGCAGAATAAATAACAGAGTTGGCCCAAAAACACAGACAGTACTGCCCTAAATTTTTGGACTTGGCTAACTAGTGCTCCAGAAAGAGGGCCTCCCAATCCCACTAAAGGAAGAATGCTAGCCAGTGAGCCTACCTTACTGTTACTACTCAGCCTACTCTGCACACCCACCTCTCTCTCCTCCCAACAACCCCAACCCCCATTGAAAACAAGCGTCAGCTTAACTTGCCCGCTGTTGCGAAATTTGAAATTCTGGAACAATTTTTAATTTACTGGACATGTACGTTCACATCTTTGAAAGTTTGCATCTTGACGGTTCATATGTAGAGGATTTTCTGTACTACATCGAGATGAAATAATGCATCATGCTATCTGACCACTAGGAGGAGCCAGAAACAGTTACCGGGAGAAATGTAAAACTGGGGGTGAGTGGACTATCTGGTAGAAACGAGAATTCAACATGAATAAGTTCTTTCCATAGTCGACTACCATTCGATAATTATTGACCAATATCCATGTCTGTCTTCAGTGCTTCTTCGCGTTTTCTGTCATGCATTATGTTATTAATGTTATAGTTTTTAAAATCTCTTGGTTAGACGTAGGTTTGGGCACCATTATGGTAGTGAAATTAGACACCAGCCAAGCCTACTTAGACAGCTCATGTACTTTCCATGGTTCACGTTCTTACTTTTTCTCCCGTGTCCCTTTTACACTATAACGCAGTATGCAGTATTTAGGCAGTATTTTCAAATGTTGATTTTCTTAACATACAGGCACACTGAAATATATAGGCACATATATGTGCCTATATATTTCACTTATTTTATGAAGGTACAATGTTCTGCCACCTAACTACAGAAAGCTGTAGGATTCAAATACAAATATATTACATTACAAAATAAATACAATTTAAAATGGTTGCAGGATTATTATATATAGCTTGCATGCACAAGACCATCAGAGTGGCTAATCATTCAACAAATTTGACTGGTCCTATCATAGCTGTTAAAAAAATTTATGCCCGACTGAAGTTACCCACTTGAGTTACCACAAAAAATAGTTTTGTTTTTTTTTTCTTTAAGCTCAGGAAGATATGTGGAATTCACACGCCACATTTAATCAAAATCACAAACGGCAATGCAAAGGCCATTTGTTGAATTAAAAAGGAATGATCCAGACTGTAAATGTCCCAGAATGTGTGAGTGGGTGCCCTTTGATGGATGGGTTTACTGTATAAAATGATCTCTGCATTTTCCCCAATGCTTTGAAATAAAAAATGAAATAAACTCGAGGCCCACCATGTACTGATTAAGTGCATGTTTTTGCACTATGAAAGACACCAGCACTAAGCTTTTACAGGAAGATAGGCCACATTAACTCACAAAAGTTAACATACAGGACAGTAGATACACGAACTTAACAGCCCTTCAAAGCTGTATTAAGTTCCCCTCTAGGTGCAACTGTGAGCAGCCTCTCTGCCTTAAAACCTATTAATTGCTGTTTTGAGGCCAGACAGCATCTCCCCCGGTGGCTGCACAGTGGAGTCGTGTCACCAGTCATTGTGGGCATTTATGCATTTAAACATTCGAAAAATCTAATTTCAGCTCTGCCGGGATGCCCCCCCCCCCATTCTTAACTGAAACAGTACTTTAACTCCACGTATTGCTATACGATAACAGGTAAAAGGTTTGAGGCACAACAGAGGGACAGTACACATGGGACACTCGATGTGACTGGGCCAAAACGGCATCCCACTGGCGTCCCGCTGGCATCCCGCTGGTGTCCCGCTGGCATCCCTTTGTATACTGCTTTCACCGTCGCTGGCACAGCTCCCGGCTGCCTTTCAGTCAGCGATCGCTTCCAGGAGCTTCAGCACGTTGTGTGTGTGCTCATTTTTCTCCTGGCCCATTCCGCTCAGCCACACTTTGGGCAGGTCCTCATGCGGGGGCTGGTACGAGTGGGGGCAATAGACCTCATTCAGCAAGAACCAGACCCGGTCAGGATCCACTTGGACAAGGTGACGAAAAACACTGCAGTGCACAGAACGTACAGGAAATCAATGACAATCATAGGCAAACATCAATAAAGATTTTAGGTTTATCGTGTATTAACTAGCTCATTAGTATTTAATGAATAATAATAATTAAATTTCAGAACCCAAAATAACAGAACCTTCCACAGTACAGCCTATTCTGACTAATGGAGCTTTTCCATTGGCAAATGGGAACCAGGCTGTATCCAACCCCTACTGCAAAGGGAGACTAGCTATAGTGTGGTTCAAGCTTGGTTCTGTAGTACTTTTTCAAGCAGTAGGTTGGAAATGTTCAAGTTCTAAGTTATAACTAAGGCATCAATATGTGTGTGATACTACTAATAATGAATAATATATAGAATATATTCTTTTTTTCCTTCAGATAATCCATGAAGGTTACAGAAAATGGATGGATGGATGGATGCATGAGTGCTCCATGCATTTCGACACGGATAACTGGTTCTTTTCTCTGTGCATTTCAACCAATCCGATAGTGCTGTCGCAACCAGCTCAGCTTAGTCATGCTTTCAGCCCTGTTAGTATGCAGGGCCGTGTCAGCGCAGGTACGGCTTGGGTATGGCTCGGGTACGGCTCATATAATTTACAATGAAAATGTGTCTCTTCGCGGTTTGGCTTGGCTACAGCTCGGTTCTTGGTGGCAGTGGAAAAGTGCCATGTGGTTAATAGTTGTAGCCAGAATGGAAACCACTAACCATTTGAATTGTCCTTACGAATGATAGTGAATAATTAAGAAGATTGTAGATTATTCAGACAAACTGAAGCTACCTTAGGCAGGCCTCCTGAAGCTGGAGCGGCTGTCTGCAGCTGAGGTAGGGCAGGCAGGCCTCCGACACCAAGTCAAGATCACCATCGACTGCAGAGACGGAAAGAGGATGGGTTGAGTGGGGACAGCAACGGCTTAAGCAATTGGCTTAAGCATGGAGAGATGGCAGTCTGTGTTACAGATTAGGTGAGAATCATGTGGCCCTAAAGGGAGACGGAGTCAAACTGCCGAAATGGCCTCTTTCCATCCCTGGATTTCACACTCAGCCCCTCTGTCACAGAGCCATTTATAGCCATGGTAACTCCTTCACTCTGTTTTCTTTCCAGAGATAAATGCATCCCCACAGCCCTGGACTGTAAGCCAATTTGAACATTAATTTCAAAAGGTTTCAAAGACTTTTCATTCTGCTGACATTTAGGCAACACAGTAACAATGTTCTGCTTATATTATCTGCCTATCATGTGCATCCTGTGTCATTTGAACAACAAACTGATTGAAACCAACAAAGAGGTTCTGTGCTACCTTTCGCTAACTAAATCCATGAGTTATTAAATTCATCCTGCCGTGTTCCTCTTCCCTACATCCTATCCCCCTACAATCCATTGGGGTCTTACAGTAGTAGCAATCAATTTCTTTGCTCAATTGCACAGTGCATGTGACACAACCCAGTACCGAAAATGTGAAAAATGGGTTTAATAATACTTCCTGCCTGGTGACTTGATCGCCCTAGCTGTGATGTATCTATTCAAGGTTAGGCTGGTCTGAGACTTGAAATGCACAAACACTGTTCAATGCAGTTAAAATTGCCCTTATTAAGCTTCTCATTTTTCCAGTGCCTCAAGCTTCTCACTTTTCCAGTGCCTCAAGCCTGACATCTAGTGGTATAATTAATTTGGATTAAATAGATGCTTGGGTCTATTCATAACAAACAGGTATATTGAGGTTGAAGGTTTCATCTGTCACTGGGAAGAAGTAAGATAAATTAACATATTATAGATAAAGACAGCTTGTCAAAGAAAAGAACGGCTTAAACAATACGCTTTCTAACAAGAAAAAAAATCTATGACTCAAATTATTCAATATATGCAATGCAAATATAACAATACACAAAAAAGCAAGCCGTCCAATATATGTTATTATATTATTTAATATCTAAAAATTAAACATGACACACAATTAATGGTAATTTCATAACTTCTTGTCACTGATGCCACCTGCAGTGACAAGGCCATGGAAGCCGTTGCACTGGACCAGAAGAGGCTTACCGAGGTCCAGCCTGAGGCTGAGAGAGCCCAGGCCCTGCAGCACTGCCAGCTGCAGTTTGTAGGCCAACGTGTGGCTGTAGACGGGCCCGGATCTGGCGCTCACTGGCGCCTGTTTCAGCAGCATGGCCGTGAGCCTTGGCAGCACATCTTTGGAGACTCTCCTCCTGAGGAAATCTCCGCAGGTCTCTCCCAAAGTACACAGCACCTACAGAACACATGACAAGACCCCAAGCGTCACAACATTAAGCATCTGTTCCTTACTGTTAATGAAACTGTATTTGTACGAGTACAGCTACACAGCAATTCTTTAGTTCCACATAACCCATTTTACGAGCCTATGAGACACACAGACACATCTGAGACTGAAGTTTAGGGCCAGAGTGCAGGGCCAGCCATTTTCTGGCAACCTGAAACAGTTTTCAGGCTTAAGGTCCTTGTTCTAGGGACTAACAGAGATGATTACGGTGTTGACCGTGGGGTTTGAACCGGCCACCTTCCGCAGACAGGCAGTCGCAAACTGCAGAGCCACTTCAATACATAAAAACACACTTAAGCCATTTCCGAGGTGAGGGCGTACCCGGAAGGCACGCAGCACAGCCAGTGGGTCGTCATTGGTGAGCCGGTTCAGTAGAGCGGGCCAGCATCGGTGGGACAGTGGAAGCAGCACGTCCTCATCAGCAGTCAGCACACACACACACAACTCCAGCACGTCCAGGACCTGCCATCTCAGAACACACACAGGTCATGCACGGTCACCCTTTCTGGTTAGGCAAACACAAACCACTCTGTTACCTGAGATAAGTTTTGAAAGACAACTAACATATAATACACAAACACATCCTTTACTACTACAAGATTAGAAGTCATGTTAATGTTGTTTTGCAAAAAGTGAAAATTTACATTAATGATATTGACACCAATACATACAGTAAACTGGTTAAATTTGCAGACGACACCAAGGGTGGTGGTGTAGTAGATACTGATCTAGCAGCACAGAGGCTACAACGGGATCTTGATTTAATTAGCGACTGGGCTGATACTTGGCAGATGAAATTTAATATAGATAAATGTAAGGTAATCCATGCAGGGAGCAGAAACATAAAGTACAGATATTTAATGGGTTTGACTGAAATAAAGGTAGCTGATTATGAGAAAGACCTCGGTGTGTATGTTGATGCTTCCATGTCCCACTCTCGCCAGTGTGGGGAAGCAATAAAAAAGGTCAATAGGATATTGGGTTACTTCTCTAGGTGTGTGGAGTTTAAGTCAAGGGAGGTGATGCTACGATTATACAATTCCTTGGTAAGACCCCACCTAGAATATTGTGTGCAGGTTTGGTCACCAAACCTTAAAAAGGACATTGCTGCCTTAGAAAAAGGTGCAACGGAGGGCTACGAGGATGATTCCTGGTCTTAGAGGAATGTCTTATGAGGAGAGGTTAGCTGAGCTGAATCTGTTTAGCCTCGAGCAAAGGAGACTAAGGGGGGACATGATCCAGGTATATAAGATTCTAACAGGTCTGGATGCTGGTTCAGCCAAATGGATATTTCAGTATTAGTCTCGTGGCCATAAGTGGAAATTAGCGGGGGAACATTTTAAAATGAATTTGAGAAAGCACTTCTTTACACAGCGTGTGGTTAGAGTATGGAATAATTTTCCTGTTAGTGTAGTGCAAGCTAAAACCCTGGGTTCCTTTAAATCAGAGCTAGATAAGAACTCTGAGCTAATAGCTATTAGCTATTATTCTCCCTAAACGAGCTTGATGGGCCAAAACTGTAGTTCCTCAGAGGTAGTTCCCAGACTAGGTACTTTTCGCTCAACAAGAACTACTGGGTGGGGCTTAGAGCAATAAACTTCACTGATTGGTTGACTACAAGCACCAGCGATAACTTGGAAGTTACATGGAAGTCTCTTTATATTAAATGAATATTAATGAATACCTTTTTGTTTGTGTCTCCATAGTTCTGCATTGGAAAATTTGACTGATAACCAACAAACTTGTCTAATATTGCCGGTGCTCTCAGTGAAACTTTCCAGCACTTATCAGTGGAGTAACGCTGCATCATTTTTTATTCTGTGGAAAATGAAAGATCAATCTGCTGGCCAGATTTAAAAACATGCTGCAGGCCATATAAATAAAAACATGGGATCAGTCCCCCCAATAACTAACAAAATGATTAAATCATCCGCCATAGTTTTGGAATGACGGTGAAGTTTCGCCTGAAAACACATGTGAGTCTCCCATTCTTATTTAGCATAAAAAACACAGTTCTTGTTGTGCAGTGCGAAAGCAAAAGTGACCAGGAACTAGAAGAGCTCCCGGTTGAGACGGTCCAGGAACTTGGAACCATGAACTTGGTTCCTGAACTTCAGCAGGAAAGCGCCTGATGACTTTTCAGTCTTATGGTTTCATGTGTTCCACTGAAAACTCTACCTTCAGTCTAAGGAGCAGGCTGGGGTGAGAAAGTAGGTGGATGCATCGCTCCATCACTGCTTTAGCCATGGAAATATTAACAGGGAGTGCAGGCTTCATGTTGACATCCTCTTCATCCATGTCACACTCTGGAGCAAAAGAGGGCACTTCTACAACAGAGAGAGCACATGACGTCATATTGAACTTAGCCCTGTCATGAATACTGAATATGGCAGATGCTCCTACCTGTGTCCAGTTTTTCATCTTCTTCTTCTTCCAGGCAGCCCTCAGCTTGCTTCTTCAGCCTGTAGTAGTCCAGGAGAAACTGCCTTATATCAAGACTGTTCTGTGACTTGGCCCCTGTTAGACTTGAGGGTTCCTTTATCTTTGCAGGGAACCATCGCACTGCAGAGTAGAAAAAAAAAATCTCAAAACTAAGAAATGTGAGGCGTGAGAACTGCGGATTCTTAGGTGCAAATTCTGAATGCGTCAATTATAAACAGTACTGTAACTATGAGACTACTGGTGAATTCAATGGGAACCATAGGTTTATAAGGTAAGATCAGGAAATGCACACCTAAAGCCTTCATTAGGGAATGTAACACTGCACAGAACACTGGTGCCCTCTCATCATAGCTCTGATCCAAGGATGCAAGCACATCTTGGACAACATCATCCACCAGGGGCAGGAGACTGGAGTCAGAGTAGCAGAACATTACAGCAAGTACTTGAGGAGCATGGGGATGCAGGCTCAGTCTCTGCAGATTCAAGGAGATATCATTCAGCAGGTAATCCGAGTTAAAATTGATGAGCTCCTTCAAGGAGCTGTAGCCACAAGCATGGCAAACGTCCCACATGGAGCAGAGGGCTGACTGGCTAATAAGCATTGTTTTATCACCAACTTTCTCCAGTATGGGGTACAATACTGTCATCAGGAACAACTGAAAATCTCTTCCCAGGGCCAATGCAAAGGATCCTATTCCTTCCAACTGTATGCAAATCTGCCAGATATTGCTGTTCAGTTGGGAAATGGTGGAGTGTTTAGTTACTTGGAGGAAATGAATATTGGTGCTTTGGGCATTGTTTGCTATAGGGAGAACTCTTGACTGCTCAAAATGTCTATCTTCATCTCGGTCCACCCCCTCACTGTTGGTTGTCAGATGCCAGTTGTTCAAGCTAATGTACTCTTCAATGATGGACATTACTGCTGATTTCAGATCATCACGACTTACAGGGTCACGCTCCAGGGTCACCGCAACACCAACCCCAGCTGCACCACAGATAATCTCATTAAGGATCATAGCACACTGCTTTCTGTATGCTAAGGATTCTCTGTAGAGATCCATGAAGTGATCCACTAACAGATAGAGATTACCGTAGTAGCCCAACAATCTGCAGATTTGCTGCAGTGACAAAAATATTTTCGCATCCGTAAAGTACAGGAAGTGCTTCCTTTGGGTGTGCGTCTCATGAGGGACAGCGTCAGTGTCTGCGAGAGAGGAGGAGCTTCTCTCTTCTACAATGTGCACATCGGTAACATCAAGCTCCAACACTTGCACCAAGGCTTTACTTATGCGCTGTAAGTGGGTAGCAGAGTTCAGCACCACAGACACCTGCAGTCCAAGGATCTTCAGATAACCATGAAAAACACTGAGAATGAACAGCTTGTGCTGGTCATCAGAAGTCCTCATGAGGCGTGGTAGGGATGTGGCAAGGGAGTGCAGGTTCTCTGAGAGGACATTAGTAAAAGTCTGGTTGCCGTCTTCCTGTCTGTTCAGGGCCATATTTTCCAAAACAGCACAGCACTTATCACGGACAGTGGGGGTCTCGTCATTCACCATGCCAACTAGGGCCTCCAAAAGGGGGCTAACACAATCCCCAAGGGATTCTTTACAGGTAGACAGGAGGTGTTCCGAAAGGATGACCATTTCTAGCCTTACTTTCCAGTGCTGGTGAGCTGAGGTGCAGGAAATAATCTTCTTTAAAAGAATAGCTAACTTCTCTGAAGTATCCTTTTTCCAGGTCAGTGTCCTCTTCACCAGCAACTCCCCAGCCTTCCCCAGATCCGTTTCTGGTTGCTCTACGGCCTTGCTGTTGGACAGCTGCTCATCAGCCATGACCAGTCCTACAGTCTGGTACCAGACCCTTATGGCTCTAATGGTGACAACATGCCCCTGTCTGACATCGCCGGTGATCACCCGAGTCACAGCACGAGCAATTCCTGGTAAGAAACAAGCAAAAGTACTTCCAAGAGTGCGGCTCTTCTCCTGGTCTGTTGTGAGATGTAACTCTGGGCAGTCACACTTAAAGAGCATCATGAGCAGAACCTTCAAGGCAGCTGCCTGGATCTTCCGGGATTTCTCCTGCTCACCCAAAGCCAAAAGCAAGGACACAGCAGCACCCAAGCCCGGCAACATTGCTGGCTTATACAGCTCAAAAATAATGTCTCCACTGGCTGCATGCAGAAGTGCATCTAAACCACAGAGCACTGCTGCTTTTAGCTCTTCCGAAATGAGTGCCGGCTTCCCAGGATCCAGAGGGGAGCTGAGGCAGAGGCACAACTCCGAGAAGAGCTCTCGTAACAGCTCCCAGCTCAGCACACAGGTGGTGCCTAAGACGTATCCAATACCCTCCACCACCACCTGGATGAGGCTCTCCTTCTTGATACTAGGCGTCTTGAGCACAAAGCGCAAAGGGAAGAGAACGTATTCCTGAAGCTGCTGCAGCGCAGTGTCGCTGACTTCCTTGAGCTGTAAATTGAGCTGCTGCACATTCCGTACAGTTTGCTCTTTGGTCAACTTCACACATGTTGGCCGCAGAAAGGCAAATGCCAAACTGGGTTCATCGATCTGCCGCATTCTGGAGTTGCAACAGTCAGCAGAAGACATACAATTTTCTGTTGAGCAGAAGACACATATATGACTTTTACTACAGATTGTCATTTATCAACATTAAATACAGATCTAAAAATATTTTGAGAAAAGAATCTATACAAAAAACTAAATGTCACATAGCAACCTCAATGTACATTTCATCTTGATCTCATGGTTCAGTGTGCAAACTTGCATACTGGCAATTAATAATTACAATTAATATTTTTTCTACTGTACAGCTCACCTCCTTTAAACGTTCCAGTGACAATTTATAAGGAGCCACAGTTAACACATTCACGTAACTACAATGGGAGTTTGTACGCTGTTCACATAATACAAACCCAAAGACAATGCTTTTAAACCAAAACTTTAAACCAAAACCATACTCAAAACGGAAAACGTCTACTAGCTTTACCTTTTTTCTGTCATATTTACGATGCGTGTCGTAGCGTGGACTTCGTACATACCGATCCTGGATACACGTCATCAAGCTGCGCCGAAAATGAGGAGCAGCAAATCGTGGAGCGACAGTGTGCGCGCGCGGCCTGTGACGTCCAAGAGCTGCAGATCTGGCAGTGCAGGATGGTGTACACATGCTGTTCAGTAGTAGTAGTACGACGTTTTTTGTTATTAACATTCTTACGACACAGTTTACATTCACAACTGTCACAGAACAAATACAAATCACAATTACACTACAGAACACAAATACAACACATACTGAGAATCCATTAACACGCGAGCTGCAAATCGGACAGGGACTGCAAACTGGGTAACAGGCAGGCATGACCTGCACGCACTTCTAAAATAAAGCTGCAGTCAAAAATTGTTAGCAAAGCAACATACTATCTTATTTCTACCATGCTGACATTTCAGTTTACGGCAGCCATTAAAATAATCGTGCAATTTGTTTTGAAACGGTTATTTTGTGTTAAAGAATAAGCATGAACGTTTTCAACTGAATATGCCTACTTTAATTTCTAGTAAATTTGGTAATTTAAGATGATATACGTGCACGCGGATGGATCACGTGACTCTTGCTTCTTGACCTTTGACTAAAACGTCACTCTGCCATCTTGCTTGCAATACTAGACATGATTGTTTTTACCAGCTAGCTGCTTAGCACCGGAGTCCTGTCCTATAGTATTAATAAAATGGCAAACCATTTAGTTAGTCTCGGTAGCGACTGAAGTACATTAATGTCAACTAGTTTCACCGAGGCTGGCCGGATAGTTTAGGCTAACAGGTCACAGCATATACTGTAGCCGCGTTAGCATGTTAGCGGCTTCTGGTACTCGTGCGGGATTTCAGCGAATCTGTACTGTGTTCCGGGGTTTGGTAGGCATGTTAAGTAACAGAAAATAATTTATTCAGGGTTGTGAGGCTCGTCTTCTATCCGAATAACTATATTTTGCTTATTATTATTATATTTGGTGGCTTGTGCATTTTGAACTAGATGTGAGTCCTGAGCTGTTTTTTTCTCTTCGCCGAGTTTCTGTTGTACTTAAGAGTCAAGTTGTTTTGCTCAAGTATAATCTGACACTGTTGCTTCCTGAATTAAAATATGTTTATAGGTTTACTTCCAAATATGTATTTTGTGCTCATACCTGAAACTTGCTTAAGTTAGTCGTTTGGTTACAGGACTAACTGAACCATTCGTTCGTTAAGTTGCCAGGTATCACTGGTAGTGACGGTGCCTGCAGGTGCACGAAGATTATTAGTGTTAAATATCGATTAAGAGGTCAGTTTGGTGTGGCTGGGGAAACATGTCGTCTTTCTCTGAATCTGCGCTGGAGAAAAAATTGTCTGAGCTTAGTAATTCCCAGCAGAGCGTTCAGACATTATCCTTATGGATCATACATCACAGAAAACATTCACCATTCATCGTGCGCGTATGGCATAGAGAGATGAAGAAAGGTAAAGCTCCAAACTATTGGAACCTTTTCTTATTTTATATGAGAATATGTGTAAACAATTATTTAAGAAAATTATAGTGACGCGTGTTTGATGTAATATTTAACTTAATATAAATAGTTTTTAAAATAAATAATAGTGGTAAGGGGAAATAAGATGTAGGCACTTGTAATGCTACAATACTTTTTTGTGCTTTTTTATTCTTTCAGCAAAAATCAGCAGAAAATTGACTTTCCTGTATCTTGCCAATGACGTAATCCAAAACAGCAAGAAAAAAGGACCCGAATTTACGCGAGATTTTGAGACTGTCCTCCTTGATGCCTGCTCTCACGTGGCGAGGTACATGCTTCATCACTTGCATGAAATTAATACCTAAAAGTTTCTAGCTTTGTACATAGAGTATGAATGAATGTTGTATCATGCCACGTTTAAACACGTTTATTTATCTCACATGCCTACTTTAATGGTTTGTTGTTTGCTGCCCAGTGCCTTTTTTATTATTTATTTTGCATAGTTTGATCTGTGCTTGCCTTGTTTTGAGTGCTTGACCCCTCTTTCCCTGCAGGGAGGTAGATGACAGCTGTAAGAAGCACCTGGAGAGGTTATTGAACATCTGGCAGGAACGCAGTCTGTACCGTCCAGACTTCATCCAGCAACTGAGACTGGCAATTGAAGACTCCAATAGCCCCAAACACAAGGTTCTGGGTAAGAAAGCAGGAATCACCTGAGGCCAACCATCTTCCTTATTGTATAGGCTGTACAATTGTGTTTCTTCATTTAGGAGCAAATAAAGGTGTAACTACTTTGGATTTGAAATTTGTGTCACCAATTATGTTGGGTGGGGGGGAAATCTTTTACAAAAATCATCTTCTGAGTCCATCCCTAGTTGGCTGCTGAAAATGCTGAACTGGCGCATTTCCATTTTCCGTTTTGATTGTAAGTGGTTGCTGTTCTACTCATGGACGATGAATAGAGAGTGGCATGTTAGATAGCAGGAGCATACAGTTGTGGGAATTTTGCCCACATTAAGCCCTTACTGTTTTAGCCATTTCAGATCTAGAAATATTGCCAATTTTTCATTATTATATTGTACATTTAAGGAATGGTGGCAGCAGTTAAGTGCATGAATTATTTAAACAGTTGTCTGTTTCAGGATGCTGAAACACACTAAACATTTGCGGCATTACTCATTTACCATTTTATGTCCCTTGGATTTTTTGCTTTAGACTTTATTTACTCAGTTAAAATGTCCCAAAGTAAGCGTGAGTAGAAACATTAGCTTTGAATAAATGGGACATTAAGCAAATAAATTATAGTAATTCAATCGTAAATCATTGGCAGTTTATTATGGGACCTTATGGTAAATACAAATAGCACTTGGAATTCCATTATGTTGGTTTTTCCCCCTTGCAGAAAAGAAAGCCACCAAGCGCCCTTACAGGAAGGTCCAGGAAGAGGAGGAGGAGGAAGAGGATGATGACTACAGAGCTCACTTCTCACCACACACCTGTGATTCCACAGGTCCACAGCTGGTACTGCCACATTTTATAGTGCTCTCTTTCAGCAGTAGGTGTCAGCATAAGTCCAGTGTTGCATGTTAGCAAAACTGTGGCACCAACTTGTGCTTTCTGGTTTGGTTATGACCTCTATCCATGCAAAGACCTAGAAGAGTGATATTTAAGCTTTGAGTAAAATCTGGGCCTGAAATAGTTCTTTCAATTGGAACAGAAACGACTGTCTGAACAGAATTGAGGAGCCAGTGTGTCTGAGTCACCATGTTAATTGCTGTTGGGGGTTTTGGATCTTGCCCTCCTTGCCTGTTGTAGACTGAAGAGCTGGTCAAGGCCCTGCAGGACCTAGAGAATGCTGCGTCTGGGGATGCTGCTGTCCGCCAGAAAATAGCCTCACTGCCCCAAGAAGTGCAGGATGTGTCCTTGCTGGAGAAGATTGTAGGTGAGGTTGTCTTCAGTGCGTTAATGAAATGCACTTCACGTAATTAAAAGATGAAATATACAGCAGTTTTGTTTAATACAGTGTTTACCAGTGTTGTGAAGTTCCGTAATGTTTTCATTTCATGATGGCTTGTATTTAAGTACAATACAATATCGGCCCTACCCTCTAAACATCAACACTTGTCCTTGAAAGATCAGTATCAATCCACCACTGATTTCCACAGGTTCTTTTGTATCTTAGGCATTTTTAAGTAGCACATCCATTTCTGAATCTCCACTTCTTCCCTTCCCAGACAAAGAAGCTGCAGAGAAACTGTCCAAGACAGTGGATGAGGCCTGCTTACTCTTGGCAGAGTATAACGGGCGCCTTGCTGCAGAGCTGGAGGACCGAAGGCAGCTAGCCCGCATGCTAACAGAGTACATCCATAGCCAAAAGGAAGCGCTCACAGAGAGGGAGAAGAAGCTGGAGGCAAGTCTCCGGGTTTCCTAGCTTTTGTGTTTTTCTGTCCATCTGTTTTCACAACTCTCGCATGGGTCCTGTGTTCATTTTGAAATAAATCACTGCTGCTGTGAATCAAGTGACGATGCTGGCTGATTAATGGGTTGGTTTTCATCTGTGCAAGTGCCATTGTAGAATAACAAAATGATTTATTGGGTAAACAAGGGGGGGAAAAGCAGATCAAATTTGCCACGATCTGCAGTAGCTGAATGATTTCGAGCCCATGTCTGTCCACGTAAGAAAGGGAGCATGTTACCTCTTGGGGAGTAAGGAATCCAAAAACCAAACAGCTGAATTACAGTGGAAAGTTCTTTTGAAAAATTAACAGTGATTCTTTAATCTTTTGATAGTCAATGTTGCGATGGGTGATTCAGCTATGGCTTTAACCCTCTGGGGACAAGGGCATTGTTGGCGATAACGTGTATCTTTCTCGTGTGTTTCAGTTTATATCTCGCTGAAATCTTTATGTAGAGTCATAAGAAAAACGCTGACTAAATCTGTAATCTGTCTTCTTTTCAAAATGTCTATTGTTGGAAGTATTAAAATTTTTAAAATTAGGTTAAATAGGCAAAAAAGTAAACCATGTCATCTTACTTTGTTTTACCTGCATCGGGGGCGTGTAGTACCGCTCTCACGTGAAGATCGTTATTCATATTCTAAATAGCTGCATTACCACGTATTCAAATCGCATTCGCATGGTAATTTGATTAACAGCGCAACGGTGAAACGCGATCCAGATACACCCCCATCAGCGCCATTAAAGGGGGGGGGGGGGGTTGTGGCCAGGTGTGAATGGCTTATTCATACACATGAGAGCTCCTACATATTCAATGGAAGGAGACCAGAAATAGTGACATGAGTTAGGTTTTTCTTATTTATTTTATCCAACTAAATGTTGCAACTACACCATTTAGTCATCTTCATGTAGCCAAGACTTTGGTGATCAGATGTCTGGGATCAAAACAAGCTTCCACCATTGCTTGCTATGTACTTATATAATATTTCTGCTAGTGTTCCAAGCTACATTTTGCAATGTCTAAAGTTTGTAATTTGACATCAAAGTAAACATAAATCTGATATATTTGCAATATACATTAAAATTAAGATGAGTGTAATGCCAAAACAAATATATGAAATAATTTATTTGCTATGAATTAAGTTTATGACATTGAATGAAAAATGTGTGACCATGCCCCAGTCAGTGACAGTGTGTTCCCCATCCCTAGTCCCCAGAGGGTTAAAGTGTTGCGTGGTGGGAATCTTGGTGTCTTATTTTATGCTGACAATCTGCTTCAGGTTCCACCTTTTATAAAGTTTAGTGGAACAGCGGTGGTTGGCAGTGAATTAAATTAAAACATTTGTAGCAAGCAAAATACCCTCCTAAGAATCCCCCTGATAATTGATCACCCCAAGACAGTGGACTGTTTTTATGCTTACGAGGCACTTTTTGGTAGGAGTACAAGCAGAAGCTGGCCCAGGTGACCCAAGTGCGCAAGGAACTGAAGTCCCACATCCAGAGCCTGCCGGACCTCTCCCTGCTGCCTAATGTAACCGGGGGTCTCGCACCATTGCCCTCTGCTGGGGACCTGTTCTCTACTGACTAAGCAGCCCAGTACCCTGACCTGCTGAAGGGACTCCTGGAGAGAGCAGATCAAGGCTTTGCATAGAGGGCAGCGTGGGATCAGAACTCCAGCCTTCTCCAGCTCCACAACCAAAACCACATGTGCATTTTGTGGTGGTGATTTTTTTAAAATACATTTTTATGATATGAACATGAAATCATCTTACTTGTGAAAAATGTAGAGGCAGTTGGTTTCAACTAGTAAATTATTAATTCTGTAAAGAATTCTTAGTGGTGATGTTCACTAAATAGCACCTGTGTTGGGTTTAGTGATTAATCTAACCATGTTGGGTGTGTTAAAAGACCCATGTGAAAAATTATTTTCTACTGCTGCTACTAAAAGACACTCTTTGAATTTAGCAGGTATATTTATACCTTCGGGCATGACCTACAAGGGCCTATTCCTGCTCCCCCCCCCTTTCCTGTGCATCAGTACAAAAACATGCTTCTAGAAACTCAAATAAGGCCAACTATCTATACTTTGTTACAAAATGGCATTTGATATCTTCCAGGTCCCAGATAATCTAAGCACTCTGTATAGTTTATTTTAATGTACGAAAATTAAGTTAAGAACCAAGTAATGTTTCAGATTTCCTTTCAGATCTTTGTAATGATTGAGGTTGTAGTTTGTTCAGACTCTTACGAGTTTCAGTTGTCATGGTACAATAGATGAGGTTTGCCAATATTTTAAGTTGTCCTAGTATGTTTTCTCACTATATTCTGAAATGGCCTTCTTTCGGAGTAATTAGCGAAACAGGAAATAGTCCTGTTGCCCTCTTTAATTAGGTCGAAGCATTGTGTAATGTTGATTGATCTGCTGTTTTCCAATGGCCAGCTTTATAAAGAGTAGGAAAGAGAATGTTCTTTGTGTTTAGGGAGTGGTGGTGTGAAACATTGGTTCACTAAGTGCATGGCATATGCTGTGAAAATAACAATAGCTAATAGCACAATGGAATCCAAAACATGATGTACTACGAAGGGAAAATGTCAGAAATAAACCATGTAGGATTATACAAACAAGCTAGAAAGTATGTATTTTTTTGTTCCTAATACTCCTACTGCTTTTATCCTTGTTATGATTTAGTGTTGGTGAATGGTGACCACTGGTGCATAATCAGGTCCTAGAAGTCATTGCTCCCAGACCTTGTAATGAGCTGGAAAAATGTAGCTTGGTGTAGGTGTCAGAAAATCCGTTGGAGAGAGGGAGGGGGACCAAAATACGACAGATTACGTAGTTTTGGAAATGTTGCCATAAGAACATAAGAAATTTACAAACGAGAGGGGGCCATTCGGCCCATCAAACTCGTTTGGGGAGAACTTAAATAATAGCTCAGAGTTGTTAAAATCTTATCTAGCTCTGATTTAAAGGAACCCAGGGTTTTAGCTTCCGCTACACTAGCAGGAAGACTATTCCATACTCTACACACGCTGATATATTTTGAGACATTTTTACTTTTTTTAACATCAAAAAATGCTAGTCTAACATTTTCATGGTCAAAAGTATTGATGATAATCACCTCAGATTATCATTTTGTTGCTTTCTGTAGACTTAGCTCATTCTGGTCAGTATCTTAAGGGACCACAAACTTTCCTTCATCTTTTGCTTCATCTTTTGTGCCAGTGGCACAGAACTGTACCTGCTATGGTTTCTTGATGAAGAAACGTAACCGGTTTCTTGTGATACCCTGCAGGCTGTTGGCTAATGCTGTTTATTTTGTAACACAGGGAGGTTTCTGCAAGTTTTTTTTGTTGATGTTTTTGTATTTATGTTGAAGGTTCCCTGTTCTCTTTGAAAATAGTTTTTTTTCCTCTCTGAAGCAGAGAACAGTTACGTCCCTTTTAGGACATGTATATCTGTTCACATGTGTGTAACATCGTTATTCAAATGTAAAACATGGCGACAGCAGATAGGTATACTAGTTTTTCTGTTGCTCTGGCACCTATAGGTAAGTATTCATCATGTATGCCACCAGATGCAAAGCAAGTCACGAATCATTCAGAATTATTCAAGAATATATTCCATAAATTGCAGTGGTACTGCATTGCTACATTTTTGGTTCCCACAGTGATTTGTTATTCTGCTGTTTTTTGTGTTTTACAGTGCTGTGTGTCACTTGTTTGATATTGTACTGTATCTTCAGACCAATTCACTAAAGATCTGAGGATGTTACTCGTACACATGAGTGGTATCTTTTGCCATTGAACTTTACATACTGTAATGAGGAGCCTTGCAGTTTTGAAACTGGTGTCATTGACATGAATAAAAATCAGTTTTTTTTTTTTACAAAAAAAATGATCAGTCAGTAACAGAGAAAATGGGAAACTACTCTCATTCAGAATCAGATCAAGAGTATACACTGACATTTTGATTGTCTAGGCATTTTGACGCTCATGTAGTTATACAACTTCCAAACATTTATCCAATACAGGGTTACAGGTGGCTTGTTACACTACATTATAAAACCTTACACGTGGTCATGTGTTTTACATGAATGGTTCATTCCTAGGTGTAAGTTATATTAGTCACTTTAAGGAGAGCATTTTCCTATCAAATTCATAAAGTAATTAGCATTCATCAAAGAAATCTAGTTATGTTCCTGTATTGTTTCTTTTCTGTCATACTTAGCAATGATCTGCATGTGTGTGAGGTTGGTTCCGTCCACGCAGAAGGAGCAGTTCTCAAAGGGTTCAGGAAGTGGGTTTTGCAAGATGATCTCTGCAGCCATTGGCTGGTTAGTTGTTGGGGATCCTCTTATTCTGCAGGAGGACAAACCAGTCAAACTAATCATTTGTGATTTTTTTTTTTTTACATCAGTCAGGGGACTCAATTTAAAACAAAATTATATTGGGGCCACCCAACAAAATGAAAAATATGTTCATTTTTCCATAATCACTCTATTTTTGGTTGATTACAGAGCATGTTGAGAGTAACCATGACCAAATGTTTGTATTAAATACTATTTTAATTCAATAGATCTGTAATGAGGCTGTTTGTTCTACAGGCCCATTTGCAGTATCTGCAATATTCAATCTGCATTGATCATACCCTTATGATGATCTCTGGGTTCTCCACAACGATGGTCCTTGATGATCCATCAAACTCTTTATATCAGTGATGATGCCAACCAGTTGGATTAGGTTATCCTGACTTACAGCTTTACAATATTGGTTGCAGTTGAGCTTGAGGTGAATCCACTTCTCTAAGATTGCAGAAAAAGACTATAGAAGTTAACAGAAGGCCTGCATGTTTTGCTTTGAGCCTGTGCACAAGACTTACTGACCTTCACTAGAACAAAAAAAAAATTGAGGGCCTCAGTTTTTCCAACAATACCAGCTAAGTTGCCATTGTAGGACACAGTCCGGGCATAAAACCTGATTTTGCACATGCTGGATGTGGGGGTTCTATTGGTAACAACTGCAAACACATCAAAATCTGAGATGCCATACTTACGCAAACCAGAATAGTTTACGAACTTCAGTAATCATACACACTATTAGTCACTATTACTGCGTGCCATTTTATTATACTGGAATGTTCTGTAGGCCCACTGTTATTCTCATACCTTGATCCATATCTGCAGTTTATAATGATCAGTTGACTGTCTGTCGTGTTTTGCAATCCTTAACATTTTAGTTTTTATATCCCACTGAACATTTGCCACCCTCAGGTAAACTAGCAAAATAGAGAAGCTGAAACAATACTTAGCATATTTAATTATATGCTATCGATGATGATATTTCAATATTTAATAGTGAATATTTTTATTTTCATTATTTAATATTAAAATATTATATTTGAAAACATTTCAGTGTGGTTTTGAATAATTTTGCAGTGGTTTTTCCTTGTCAGGCTTCCTGCCGTTGTGTTTATAGCTCTTTCCTTGGGTTCTCCGCTCACCACACCTTTTGTGTCTTGTCATTATCGTGTGTTTACAAGTTTCAGATTTCAGTGTTTTATTGTCATGTGCACAATGGACAATGAAATTCTTAATCACGTTCAGTTGTGGACAAAAGTTTACATATACTTATCAGAAATATGTTGGTTATGGCAGTTTTGGGGTTACAATGATTTCTACAATTGTTCTTTTTCTGTGGCAGAATGATTATACAACACACAACTTAAAAAATCATAAATTTCATGCACAAGGTGTAATTTGTTGTCAGTTTTCTGAAACCAACACAAGGTCAAAATTATACATAGAGGGTCAAAAATGTACATACCTGTACATCACACCTAATATTGGGTTAATGTCACTCAGCATGTTTCACCTCCATCAGATTCCTTTGGTAGTCATCAACAAGCTTCTGGCAGAAGCTTCTGGTTGGATATTTGACCACTCTTCTTGGCAGAATTGACAGACTACAACCAGATTCGTTGGGTGCGTGGCACAGACAGGACCTTTAGGCATAGTCTACAAATATTTTCGATGGGGTTGAGGTCAGGACGTTGGGAAGGCCATTCCAAACACTTAGTGCCATATTTTAACCATCTGAAGCACACGGTCTGAAGCACATATTTTAACCATCTGAAGCACA